AAGGCTTCCCCATAGAATCAAACTTCTAAAAAAGAAACACATGCATTATTAAGATGGACAGTCAAATCTAACCAACACAAAAAAGAAGGCAGACATCATTAAGGTTGAGCATTATAAAAAGAGAAATATTCGAGTTCAGCTACTACACCTAAGAACTTGCACAAAAACCATGGAGGCTAGGACATCTAGATGGAACATGAGAGCATTCACATTGGTAGTGCTTTTGTTTCATGGGGCCCCGTTACTTTTTTCCTCTTTTGGTTTAATAAGATGAGTTCGATTCACAACCTCAAGGCAACAATATAAGCCTTCAATTTGAGCTGGGGTCCACACCCTTTGTTTGGCCTTATTTTTTAACATGGTTTCCTTTTGTAGATATTCATACATTGTACCGCTTTCTTGTCATGTGTCCTACTCTGTGCTTGTAAATGACCTAAGATATTTCAAGTCTTAATCAAACTGAGTGGTTATAATGCAACGATTAGCATCATAATTGACGCTTGATTATCTCTCTCTCTCTTATGTATGTTGAAACAAAATAACTCAGGGTGAGGTTTCCCTTGTCAATTTTAAACAATTGAAGTAGGGAAAAGTTTATATATTACCAAGGCTCTAAACAATCAAATTCTAGCCTACCTTAAAAATTTCATTAGAAGATGTTGTTTTGATGTTTAAATATCTTCAAATTGATCATCTCGACATCAAGATGCATGGACATGAAAAACCAAAAAATAGATTTTAAGTTTTGAAAACAGTGTATTTTATAATGCATTTTTTGACCATCAATTTTCAAGATTTCATAGATCGCTCAATCTACACTATTTTTAAAGCTTTAAACTTTATAACTAAAGATGAAAATATATTTTAAGGCTATCAAAAAGATTTCCAGCATTGAAACCACATTTCTCGATACTATTTGAAGATAGGCTCTAATTTGATTGTTTAGAGCCTAGGCTCTATACAAACCGCACCCATTAAATTAAGGCATTCTAAATTTTGTCAAAAGATATAGTTTTGATGCCATAAATCTGTATGATGCCCTAAAAATCTATTTCTAGTGCTATTAATGAAATTTAAAGCTAAAAAAAATAGTGTGAATCAAGCGGATCTATAAACATTAAAAAATCTTGAAAATATATAGCTTAAATAGTATATTACAAGATGTATTATTTTTAACTTTTTTCGAGAGATTTTTTATGTGAATCTTATTTCTAAATGACGAGTGATACCTTATATAAAACTTTATCTTTTCTATTACCTAATATAACTACCTTTTTTGGAATGCGTACAGTATTCCTTTTTTTCTTAATGCATTTCTAAGAAGATAAATCTAATCATAATAAATTTTTGTAGTAAATTTTTTAAAAGAATTTGATATTCATACTATAAGTGAACATACGAAAGAATTACATCTAACTTGTAAACTTTAAGACAGTTATTAAGAAGGAATAGATTCGTATATATAACGTATTTAAGTTGGGGCTTCTTCATCTTAATATCTAACAAAACGCCCCTCAAATCTGACCTTAATAGATCGTTTAGTAGCATCTCCTTTCCTTTGTTCCAATAAATATGTACAATTTTATCTATTAGGAAAGGACAAGGTTTATATAAGGTTGCACCATAAAATATAGAATTAAAGATGACACCTCAAAATCCATTGGAAAAGGATGTTTTAATGTTAAAAACCCTCTAATTAATCATCTCAACATCGACATGTATGAATATGAAAAAAAAAAAAAAAATTTTGAGTCCCACAAATAGTGCATCTCGCAACACATTATCTAGACTGTCTATTTTCAAGATTTTCATATGTTTATAGATCTACTTGATGTTAACCATTTTTAGAGTTTAAAATTTTATAATGAGATATGAAAATAGATTTTGAAATAATCCTAAGATTTTTTTATACTAAAATTACATGTTACTATAAAATTTGCAAGTGCGCCTTAATTGGATTGTTTAAGATTGCAACCTTATAGAAACCACACCCATTAGGAAATTTATGTGTCTTAGGATTAAACCAAGAATAACGCTATAAATGTTTTTAAAAATGATTAATATGTGATATTATTATCTGGTCAAAATTATCCAACCTTTGATCGAGCTCCTAGATATCTCCAAGTATATAGATGTGTATTATTCATTTATCAACATTACTTTATGTTACTACCTCTCCAAATCATCGTTAGCATCATAATCGTTTTTTTCCAACGTTCTTCAGGAAGCCATGCAAAAAGGTAATGGTCCGGGCTGGGCCACGGGCTTTTGGGCCAGGTCTGGTATTCGATCCATTTTCGGGTCTCCCGCTGGGCAAGAGAAGCCTGTTTGTTTTCGGGCCCTAACCATAGCGGCCTGCTTGAAAGCCCGAAATTATAAGGCCCCTCTATAAACCGTAAAAATCCCCCTCTCTCAAAACCCAAAAGGACTTCTCTTTCTCAATCTAAAGTTTAAACTCTCTGCCCACCTGTTCGGGTCCAAGAGCCCAATATTACATGCCCCTCTCTAAACGGTTACAGCCCCCCTCCTCTCTCTCTCTCTCTCTAAAAACCCAAAAGTCCCTTTTTTCTGTCCCTAAACCCTAACCCACCTAAGCCCCCCTTTCCTTCCCTTAACCAGCGTTTGCAAAATCGGCTGGCCCAACTCAAAACCGGTTGGTCAAAGTAGAACAGGGCACTAGCCAATCTAGTTTTGGCCGGCTTAGGTGGTCCTGCCGGATATTTTAAAAAAAAAAATCTCAAAAATAAGGGATTTGTTTGTAACATGTGTTTGAATATTTTTTTATCATTTTGGTAAAGACTAGAAAGTGTTTTGGCAATTAAATACTTATTTTCACATTTTCCCATTTTTTTAGAAAATCTTGAAAATACCGTTGGGCACAAATCATCATCATCATAGCTTTTCCCAATTAACTGGGGTTGGCTACATGAATCGTCGCCCACCATTTTTCTCTATTAAAGGTCATACCTTCAGTAAGGCAATAAGCCCCCATATTTTTTCTAACTACTTCCAACCACGTCTTTTTAGGCCTACCCCTTGCCTTTTTAAATCCTTCTACTCGAATTAACTTGTACCTCCTAACAATTGTTGTATTAGGTCTGTGCCATATATGGCCGGCTCACTTAAGTCTACTTTATCTCATCTTGTCACCTATTGGGCCGCACCTAGATTTTTTTGAAAATGAACTCTATCCCTTATTGTCTTGTCACTCATCTATTTTAAATATCCTCATCTCCGTTATACTCATTCTATAGGTATATTGTTTTTTGTCTGCTCAACATTTTGCCTCATAGAGTAAAGCTGGTCTCACAGGTATCCTATAGAACTTGACCTTTAACTTCATTAGTATGCGGCGATCACATAAAATTCCAGTTGCACATCTCTGCTTTGCCCACCCAGCTCTAATTCTATGTGCGAGATTTTCTTCAATATCTCCATTTTCCAAAATTATTGACCCAAAATCCATGGGCACAAATCAAATTCTTTCACTACTTTTCAACTTCATTCGGATGTGTTTTGTTTAATTATGCTTTAAATATATTTTTCATATATTTTTTATATTTTTTGTATTTTTTAATTATTATTTTTACACGTTTTGAACCGTCTAGGGCCACGCCAGTTAGGCCAGTTGAACCGGCAGATTTACTGGTTATTCAAACCCAGCCCTGTTGAACACTGCTCTTAACACTTTTGAATCTAGGGTTCAAGAACCGCAAAAACAATGGAAACAATGGTTCTCTGTAAAACCCATGAGAATGTCTCTATATAAAAACCCAAAATCTCTGTCTCCCAGAAGAAAGGTGGTCGGGTTTTGGCTCTTTGGGTTGGCAACTTGGCGTATTTGGTTGGGGATAGAGACAGAAAGGTCGGGGTGTTATGGCATCGAGGATTTGAGGTGGGGTTGTAGGGAGATGAAGGGTCATACAGGTAGGGTGGGGATATCGAGATGGGTTCTCATCAAATTAAATGGGACCATATTCTATTTCTCCAAATTTTGAGAAGAAAGCTTTGAGCTTTCCAGCTGACGCATCGGATGATTTTGATGGAGTTTACTTTAGTTTTTGTTCTGCCTTGTTTTTTGATGGAGTTTACTTTTCCATATCTTCGACTTCTTATCTGATTTATTATTGGACTTGCCAGTTCTTGGCAATGGAGGATGGATTTTAGAGAGATGGTGGACTTTAACATAGAGATGTAGAGAGATGGGGATTTCTCCATATTGGTGGCTGTCTTCTTCTAGGGCTTGGCCATGGATAGTTCGAAGAGGAGAGTCAGAGCGAGAACAATGGGGAGTTTTGGGGAGAGATGAGAAGAATGTTAGAGAGAGAATGGGATTTTTAGAAACAAAGTATAAGATGAGAGAGTTAAGCAGGTTTAGGCATTGCCACCTATGAAACAAAATAGTAAGTGCAGCACTTTAGACACCTTATGCCTAAACTTGTCTTCCACTGAAAAAGATCCAGTTTGGACACCAGGTATCAGAACTAGGGTTATTTTCATCTAAAACTAGGGTAGGGTTATTTTGTGGTGAAAATTTTTAGAAGTACAGCCTTTGCACAATATATATAGGATTTGCGAGCCTTTCTTTGCTATAAAGCTCCCTTTCGTACCAGTAAGTATGTTTTCATGGAAAATCATTTCATGCGAGCTAGACCACATTTCTACAATGTGACCCAAGTATAAAGCATCTTTTTTAAAGATGGATGCAAATAGGTGGTCCATATAAAAACAATTGAAACTAACGGTCTCAATGTTTTCTTAATAGAATTATTATTTCTAATTTTCAAAATATATTTATTTTTTCATATTTATGATCACTGTTATAAATTAGAAAAATTAAGTAAAAAATCAATCTCAAAAATAGATTTCTAAGGACTCATAGAAATCGTGTCCTGTTTTCATACATGTATCTAATCACTGCTCACGTCATTACATGCTTCATATGATTTGGCAGCATGTTTGGCATAATTCTCGCATTATTTGATGTTGGTTTATCAACAGGAACACAAATAAATCAATACATACATGAAATTACCAAATAAGGGGTTAACGGAGCAAATATCTTACACTCAAAGAGTGACTCAAATCAAGTAAACCTAAGTTAATACACGAGCAAAAGAGAACACAACTTTCTATCACAAGATTCCCTAGTGCAGGTGCCTAACTAAAGTAATAACTCAAAAGTACTCTTGATCTATGAGTTATTTAAGGGAACAATAAAATAAAATAAAATAAAATACAATAAATAAATCTAACTTCTGCAAACTGCACGCATAAATACTCAGCTTCAAGTAAGTCTCAAGTAGCTTGTGCAGCTTGCCGACTCCTGCGTTGATGAACATCCCAGTTGTACACCCGAGCAATTGTGACCTGTTATCAGCAAGATGCGAACAATATTATGGCACCACATCGAATCAGTTCTATAATGCTTCAACCGAAATTTTAAAGCAAGAACGTGCCCATGATTCTCATGAAGACAAATATAACAATGCCTACATGAATGGATATGCTTCACATCTAGCAAACAACAACAAAAAGCAACAAGATAAATGGTGGGTAGGGGATGTCAGTTGTGATTTTTGTTTCCCAATTCAATTAAGGACAACCCAGATTTATAGGGCACTCACCCAGTAAGAATATCAGAACTATACAGACAAAATCTTGATAAATTCTAATTCTTTTTTTGGTGGTTTAACCAATTTATTATAATTGGAGAAGTAATCTAACAGTAGAAAGTGGTTTGTTTGGTCTAAACTTTTCTGCATTAGGAATTGCACTGTTTCAGAACATCTTGGGAAAAATAAAACAAGGAATTCTTTCCCTACAAATTTCATAGGGCCAGTTTGGATGTACTCGTTATCATTAATAATTCACTATTTCAATAAAATTAATTTTGATAATAAATTATTTGTTATCTGGCAGTGTCCATCATAAAGTTATCTTAAGATAAACATGTAGGCACTTCTATATATAAGTTTACTTTTTTGGAACACTTTTTTTACTTCATTCAAAATAATTCATTGAAAGTACATGTTTTTAGAAAAAAAAATTGCTAAAAATAACTGGAAATCACTAAAAAAATTAAATAATTAAATGATATTATCCACAATAAAAGGCACATATTAAGATAAGCACTAAACAACTAACAAAAAGATATTACAGAGTATATTATTTTTAGATAAGACAGTATAGTCCAAATAAAACTGTTATCCAAACACAAGAAACTTGTCCCAAAAATATTAGATGACCCACTTGAGTATGTTTTCATAAACCAGTGCATTGCACTTCTCTGATAATATGCATTTCCAACATAGTTTATGGAGGCGAGTAATCAGATCACAAAATACCCATGAACCTTATGACTCCCATGATAGCGCTACAACTTGCAGCACACAAGGCTATAGCTCAGCTCTCAGATGTAACATAAAGGAAAAATAGTTCTGCTTTGATTTCTAATACTCCCTCTCAAAACATAACTAGACTCAACACACTGCCCCTTAGCACGTAGCTTCCTAAGGACTGAAGAAACATGAGCTCATCATCATAGTTGCACAGGTAACCCACGAGAAATAAGGATTCATCACCATATAGTTGAACATAGCATGCCACCAAGGAGGCCAGCTTGTTGCCACTTTGCCCTGTGTCCAACGTCATTACTGTATACCAGCCATTGAAAACTTGCTGAGGCGGTTTGGAATTGCCTAAGCAGATTGGGATGGGGGTCTCCACTCCAAACACCGGAAGTCACCCCTGGAGCATTGGAGCTGGCATATTTACTGTGTTCAACCAGTCAGTGCCTGTATAAGAGTACTCTAGAGATTCCCAACTCTAGGAACTCGGCCGAGTCCAAAAGTTTCCCCCTCATTGGCCGGGTTTTGTCAGCCTGAATATCTGAACCCTATTTCTTTGATTTCGGGCTCATTAGGGGGAGGGTGCGTCAGCGCCAAAGGTTTACCTCAAGGCACGTTGCCAATAAGGTGGGTCATGCTCCTAGCTGATTAGGAGTACAAGTTTTATGGATAGGGAACACACATTGAGGGGTGAATATCCCAAGGTAGGCTTCCTCTGCCCACTCAATCCACTGATTCCATGCTGCTTTCCTAGGCTTGAAGTGAACCTATCTTCCACGCCAATTGTTGATCTCAAGGCACATTGCCAATATGGTGGGTCACGGTCCTAGCTGATTAAGAGTACAGGTTTTATGGAAAGGGAACACACATTGAGGGGTGAATATCACAAGGTAGGCTTCCTCTGCCCACTCAACTTACTGATTGCATGCTGCTTTCTAGGCTTGAAGTGAACCTATCTTACATTTCTAAGCCTTCGTCAGAGTAAGATGAACATCAAGAAAGCTACAACCAAACAATAAGGGAAAGCGTAATGAAGGCAATAATGAAGTTGTTGCACAATGTTATCCCTTTCAACACAGCCAACAACAGGCATTATGCACCCATGATCTCAATCATTGCTAATGCAAGGCCTAGAGTCAAAAAGACAAGGGCCCCACCAATATGAGCTTAGTGGGCCATGCTTCAATGCAGAGGTGATTGAGGTAGGTCAGTTCATTGATGACTATATGCAGACATGGAAGAAAACATGGGTCACAATCATGCCTTATGGTTGGAGTGAAGGGGATAACTTTTCATAATTTTTCGGTGCATTCCTCATGTGGGATAGTGCACCATAGCAGTGTAGATGCCACAGGAGCAATGAAAGTTGTGAAGCTATTGTGGAAATTGTTTGATGGTGGTGACGCAAGTTGGTGAGGAATATGTAGTTGAGTTTATAATTGATAAAATGAAAAACTACATAATGCAAAGAAGGAACTCATGAAATTGAGGAATAATTTGACGTAGACCCCTTTCTCTCAAAAAAAACTTGATGAGAAACACCTATGCAACCCATTGCATTGAAATTGAGCTAAAGGTTTCAAAAAACGGTCTGCCCGGCTCCTAGGCGCCCAAGAGACCTCAGGCCGCACGCCTAGGCCTAGGTGCCCCATTCTGGGTGGCTTTACCTGGGCAGGCGCCTAGGGCCGTGGACCTTTCATTAATTTTTAAAGATGCCCAAAATGGCAAAGGGGATAATTTTGACCCCAAAAAGGCTTAAATAGAAAATGGGGGTTATTTTCGACCCCCCAAAATTAAAGTACACTTCCATAAGCCCTATAGCTAAGTATAGTTCCATAAACCCTAAATCTCTTACCTTTACTTATTTCTGAGAATCAAAAGTATTTTTTGTGGTTTGAAGAAACATTCTAAACTTTTCTTTTCTCATTAGAATTATTTTTAGGGTACCATTGGCATGTTATTATGGAACATGGAGTGTTGGAGACTATTACTAATACATAGACTAAACTTTTTTAAACAAATTTGTGATTTGAATTTTGAAATTTTGAACAGGTTTATTCTTAACATGCGATATGTTTGTATTGAAAAAGTATGTTACAAAACATTCAAATGCAACAAATTATGGAATTGACACAAATATATGCATATATGTGCGTTTGGACAACAACAACACCACACACCCATGTGCAAGTGCAAACGCATACACGCACATGCACACTCACACTCACACGCACACGTGCACATGCACATGCACACGCACATACATACACACACATACACAAAAAGTCTTAAAAACGCCTATAGGCGAATTGCTATAGTGTTTTGCCCCTGTCATGAACATGCTATGTCCGTGACGGTTTCGCCTAAAAACCACCACGGACCTATGGGAGCCATGGTGGTTCTCGTACAATTTTTGTGTGAAAAAAATCCTGCCTCTTTAATCCACGCTGTCTGAAAAAATTGGACAGCGCCAGGCCCATGAGCGAAAATACTGTTCATTTTTCGCCCATAGGCATTCTGTAGTCTCTTCCATATATATATATATATATATATATAAATAATTTGTACTACAGGGTGCCTGAGGTTCTGGGTGCCAGGCCGGCCGCCTAACGCTTTTTTAAACCTTGGAAGACATTGACGAGCACAAGAGCAAGAAACAAGCTGTAGACAAGGGGAAGATTATCCTGAAGTTTACATACACAACCACTCAGCTTTGATGAGGCAGTACACAAATGGGAGGGAGATTGTTAGGTCTCGCATCACATGCTTTTTCTACCTCATTCTTGCCTATGCAATCCATTTTGAGGCTGTGATCAAGACCCAAGAAGAAAAGTAAAAATTAAAAAGTTTAGATGGCCCTCCCAAACATTGAGAAAGGGGTTGTTTTTTTTTTTTGATGTTGTACATTGAGAAAGGGTTATGAACAATAACAAAGTAAAACAGAAAGAAATCACTACATAACCCAATACAATCCCCACCACACACACAGACCCACCCCCCCCCCCCGGCGGGGCTGCCCCAAGGAAATGGAAACCAAAACCAAGTGAGAATCATATCAGATGCAGAAAGCATGACAAATATTCCCCCCTAACTGTTAGAACAGCATACAACACAGGCACGCACACACAAACATCACATACACAAGTATGCCAGTGCCCATGTGTGTGCATTGAAATGCACAGGCATGGTGTGATATGTTTGTCATTGTGCACTGGCAAACTCAGATCAATGGAAGGTTTAGCCCCAAAAAAAATACAAAAATGTAAAAAATTTAAAAGACGAAGAAGAAAGCATACCTGTGTTATTGTTACTTGATCTCTCAAAAACTGCAAATCTTCAATGAGGACTTCTAAACTGGCTTTAGCATTTTCCAAGTTTTTCTTCAAGAGGGCATTAGCCTGCAAAATCAAATCCAAACATGCACAGCAGTTTATGGTCATTCTAGATTTAGAAAGCTCAATGTATAAGAGAACAGGAACATATGCAAAAGATTCATGTTGAAAGCATGAAACACCAACCTCGTCACAAGAATACTCTAGCATTACATTTGCCCCCAACCATAAGCACACAGAGTCTGTCTCGTCAATACAAGCTCGTGAATATATGCCCTCAGAAACTTCAAAATCGGTTATTAGTGCCTGTTCCAATATTATAACGCCAGTGGTTACTAACAAATTTAATATTTTGAAAGCTGCAGCATACTTGAAAGAAAAAGATAGAACCTAACAAATCCAGTCATCAAACTCCCACATAAGATGCATATGCTTTCTTAGAACTCAAGGTAAGTCCATGAAAGCACAGACCTTGGTACAAGTAACAGATCCCAGCACTGATAGAGTGACGATTGAATATGGGTCATAAATAAGGCCAAAGCATTGATAGGAGCTGTTTTATTTCGAATCTCATCTCATCGCATGGAACTTGCACCCAAATCTTTCATTACTCCAACACGTAGCTTATGTGGAATTTATGGCTTATTCGAAAATTTCTCACCACCCGATTTAACATCAAGAGATGTTTGATAAGAAAATTTTGTATTTATTCCCAAATGCAATTGGGCTCCCAAATTGAATTTTTTACATCACTACTCCAAGTCATTTTGCAAAATATTCAGTTTGGCTCTCTCACTATCTCTCCCCACAACCACCACAATTACCGACTGCAACCACCACCACAACTCCACCACCATCACCGCCTAGCCACCACCATTACATCACCCACTCAGCCACCATCACCAACACTGTTGTTGGGTTTTTGTGGCCATTTAAAAGCCTTACGAGAGCATATAATGAATTTTATGATAGTGGAACAATAAACTCTAGTGGGCGTATGGCCCAAGAGGGGCCGAAGTCGGCAATTCTGATGCCAAGACTCAAACTAGGCTTGACGAGCCGTGTTGAGTTATAAAACCTTATGATACTTGGGCATATAGCATAACCGAGACGGGTTACCCCTTGATGCAGTCAGAGAGATGCCCAGGATAATTAGCCAACGGACTTTGTGACTCTTGTGTGTGATTGATAGGCCTGAAGGAGCAAAGGCCAAATCCTCATCATGACCATCACACAACATGTATATATGATAGTTGTATTGAAAAGTGAATACCATTGAAGGTGTCGCATGTACATGTGCAAGAGATAGCCCCCATGCACCAATTGCGACATGTGTGCGCCGGTCTGTGTGACTTGGGCTTGTCCCTAGGGAAAATCTGTAGTCTATAGACTAGGATTGTGTTTTTTCATTACCTATTGGCTGGCTTTGGTAGTCAAATATTGAACCCTTGTGATAGACTGTGGGTCATGGGAACTATTGGGCTAGTTTGAGAAAGCGAGTGTAGAACATAGTCACTAATAGAGATGGACATAGTCACTAACGAAGTTGGATCCGATTCCCATCAAATTAATTTAGAAATAATTAATTTTGTTATAAATTATTTTTTAGAATATTAAAATAATTTTTATAAGTTTCTAGATATTATTCTTTTATCAAAATTGAATTTAAATAAGCTTAAACTGGATTTTACGGTATTTAAATATTTAGAGAAGAAAATAAATTATTTATTCTTTTATCAAAATTGAATTTAAATAAGCTAGAACTGGACTTTATGGTATTTAAATATTCAGAGAAGAAAATAAATTATTTATTCTTTTCTAAAAATCATTTTAATAATACTAAAATAATTAATTTGTATGGGGGCCCATTGTACACTATGGGCCCCCCATTCTAGCCCACAATTGATGGGGTGTGGGGCCCACTATGTCCTCATAATTGGGACACCCCACTCCTTTCACTCTTCTATTTTATGTTGGCTTGTATCATAAGCTATGCATTGATTAGAAATGAGCAATGTTAAAAAATGTGGATTGGGGAGTTTTTCTCACCCTCAAAGCCACGATTTTTGTTTTGGGGGTTTAGAATACCTCCCAAAACACTTTTTCCCCCTCTTAGGGGGGAAAAATGACATTTTTTTTACCCTCATTGAGGGTTTTTTCGCCCTTCTGCAAACTGTCACTGGGCGGCGCCTAGGCGGGCGCCCAGAGATAAGCTGCATAATTCAACTGCCCAGACAGCACTTAAGCATTTTTTGAAATTTTTCGCCTAGGCGGTTGGGCGGCCAAATTTTCGAACGCTGGAAATAAGATACAAAAGTTTCGAAAAGCGCTAACTAATTTTCAAAAGTAGCATGTGTAGAGATTGATTAAAATTAAAAGGAAAGTACAATATATTATCTCTACACTAAATATTTGATGAAATTAGGTTAAAGAAGATGAGGGATAAGGTTATAGCACCTTCCGTTAAATCATTATGGATGATCTATAGATTGTATGACTACCACATATCACCTATGATCAATGGTCTAGATGGAATCTCCATAGTGAAGGTTAAACTCTAGAAACCCTAACCCTAGCCTCACTTTTATAAAATATCTCAATGGTTGGACATCTCTACACCACAATTTCCTAGAGCTCTCTCTCACTCAGCAAAGGTGGCACACCACCCCCTCTAGAACTCTCTCACATCTCTCATATCCTCTAAGAAAAGAAAGGGGCATGACCCATTGATACAAGCATAGATGGGGCACGCTCCACATCCATTGAAGGGTTTTAGCCCAAGCTTCCCAAGTTTGTGAGATTCAAGAAAGACCTAGATCTCGTGCGCCATCGGTGGAGGAGACCCGGTGTATGGTGTACAAAGTCCATTAGAGGTAATCTTTTGACACCTTTGATATATTGCTTTCTTATGTTTTCTTGTTCCCAAACTCAAGTTGATGTAATCTTTTATTATGTAATGAAGAGTTTTAAAAGTGGCAGCAAGTGAGAATCCATTTTGAGTTTTTATTTGTTTATTTGAGTTCTTATTGTAATCATTGGACTTATTAAGTGTTCTAGTCAGTTTTGAAAAATAAAAATTTAAAACTATACAGACCGTGCTAGTTCACATCATCCACTTTCAATTGTTGCCCTTGCCTCAACCTCCAACACCACTGTTGTCGCCACTAGTCACCACTACTACTAAAATTGCACAGCCACTATGCCACCACCTCATCCCAAGCTGCCACCACCTCATCGCCAAGCTGCCACCACCACCATCATCGTACCACTATCGCCACCACTCCACCACAACCTACCCACCACCACCATCCGACCACTGCCATCATCACCAGAGCCCCACCACAACCACCACCACCACAAGAAGTCTACAAGCTCCAACACAACCAGCACCACAACCTCCAACACAACCAGCACCACAACCACCAACACCACCACTGCCATGCTACCACCACCACCACATAATACCACTTTATAATTCAAATTGTAACAATCATAGAGGCAAATGACAATTGACCAAATTGCCATTGGGTAAATTGCAAATTGAAAGAAACACTATTTGACAAAATTGTCATCAAATAATCCCTATATGTGTTTTTTTTTTTTTGACAAGGTCACATAGGAATGGAACTTGAGATGTCGGGCTATGAAAACCTCGCATTTACCGCCATGATCCAAGCACGTTTCCTTAAATAATCCCCATATGTTTCAAAGATACATAGTGCAGAACTCAACCATTTATGTTATAAGCAACTAAACGTTTAATCTGAGCATTTGTAGCAAAACTTATGCCCATAACGCTCATACTTGTGGAAAAGGGGAAGGACGTTATATAATGGACTCAACATTTAAGAAATGGGAACCTATACTATATGTTGGAAATATGGCCTATCAAGGCCTAAATTCCAGTGGTCTCTCATTTAGTGGGAGCAATTGAGAGATTGAAATCTTGGCATCTTGCAGAATGGAGCCCAGATTCTTTTACCCCGAGTACGCACGAGGCATCGAGAGTTCACGTGTTGAGAAAGCAATTTCTCAAAGAGGTGTGAGGGTCACCTCCTAGTCAGGATTTTATACGTTAGCCTCATGTTTAGCTGCAATCGGTCAGGGCTTGAAAAATCTAAACGAGAAAAATAGAACCCGAGTACTTATTGAGCATTCGCCCTGTATGGAATGGTCAAGACTTATGGGACATAAGTCCGTATCCTGACTGCATTTTCATTTCGTACGGGAAGCCACTCTTCCAAATGCATTATCCGAGTTTGGAAGAGCCAGTACACATGTGCTTTGAGAGGACTCCTATAATTGAGTTAAATCATTTCCCATAAAGGTACACCTGTAATCCATTGAGAGCAGAATGATCGGAAGTTCTGGCTCAGCGGCTTTGATATGGCCAATTATGTGTCTCTGCTTTAGACTGTGAAACATAGGTCTATTGACTATGGAACATAGGCCTATTGTGTCGATCTAAAACTCGACGGAACATCATTGGAGACTAGACCAATGGAGTACACCAATACCTATAGTTATTAAACTAAGATCTCACTATACCTTTTGTCTGATTTTATAATGATGAGAAAAACCTAACAATTGCTCAAAAATACTTTAAATATTTATTGTGAATTTGAGAGAATTTTTTGGAATTTTATTTGCTAAAAAAATGAAGTTTTTCAAATTGTTTGACTCAAATTCCACTTTAGTCCTAACCTGTTAGTGCCATGTGGCATCCAAGTGGTCATAGGGCTGCCACATGGCAACCCACGCCTCACTCTAGGATCACCGCGCAGCTGGGCGCTAATCCCTACGAGGGGGGCCAAATTGGCAATTGGTTGCTTGTTTTATAAGGGGTTGTGTTATAGTATCTTGTTATATATTGTTATATTTTGTTATATAATGTTATAACTTAAAGCCCATTTTTATCACATGTCTTAATTAACTCACACATGGGTCATGCATGGCATGTGTGAAGTTTAATTAATTTATTTATTGGATATTAAAGAAAAAATGCATTTTCAAACTTGAGTTGAAAAATATCTTCACACATGTGTGAAGGGGACATTATCTTTAAATTAATTGGCTTGAAATTTTAAATAATAAAGTGATTGGCTTTGATAAAGTAGAATATCTTTACATGTGTGAGCTTTGCCAATTACTTCTTTGCCCTTTAGACTTTGTGGTTATCTACTCTAATACATTATTAAAAAAACTAAAGGTATTATTGTAAGGGCATATTGGATACAATTGGAACAAAAACATAAACATAGGGCAAAGAAAAAATGATAAAGTGGCATAACTTAAGGTTCGGGTGT